CATTTATTATTTAGGAATCAATAGAAATGACTGGCTTTTAGCTAAAGTTATAAATCATTTGGATGATAAAAAAATCATTGTTATCAAAGTCACTTACAGGACTTCTTGTGGCTAGAAATCCAAAAGTAAAATAATTCCTTAAAGAAGTAAAAATGTGAACAATATTATAAAGCATATAAACTCAGCTTCAAAACTCTTGAAAAAAGATTTGTCCCATATAAAACTATACATGGCTCTTCTTTACAAAATAGCATTATATGTATTTTATTAGTTTTTGAGCTAAGTCAATTTTTCTTATTTCTAAATATGAAATCAATGAAAGAAAAGTGAATACACTTTGATCAGTCTCTGGCCTTTCTTGATAAAAAAATATTTACTGAGCATAAATATATTTACTTTATTGCTAAATAATGTACTATTAAATTTTCACATGCTTTTAGACTGTCTATATCTACCTGACTTCCTATAGCTCTGTCTCTATTGATCTATCTATCTATTAGCTATTCATGTATCCACCCACCTATAGATCTTTAATGTATGGTGAAGAATTAAGGGAGCATGGAAAATATGCTTTACTCATGCTGAAGCAGGGCACAAAATGCAGTCAAATAAAAAAAAATCAAAATACATTCTTTAAGAATTTCTTTTCAACGCAGTAAAAGAAACTAAAATAGCCTCTCTCTACTAGAGGATTTATTAACATAAAATCCTTCAAGCTCTCTTCCACTGCAATTCAGTACATCACACCTTAAATTAGCTGCTGAATCCTTTCAAGTATTTTCACTAAAATAATGGGCAATATGTATAAGAGCTATGTATTTTGGATTAATAAGCTGATGGCAGCAAAAATCCAGAAATATCAGGAGCAGAATAAATGGATGAAAAAATTAGTTCATCCAAAGTGGAGAAACAAAGTAGCATCTGTAGTGAAAAAATAAGATATTAACATCTCCAAGCTATCTACAAAGTAAAAAATCAACATCGACAAAGAAAGTATAATTGAAAATGCAAAGTTTTTAAATTTATTTTTATTTCTAAATCTGAAATATCCTAAACAATAAATTAAACACTATTTTTAATTGAGATTATTTAAAAATGAAAAGAATCCAAAGGTAATAACACAAAACTATGAAATATAGTATGGTACTGATTTTACTTGAAAAGAATTGTGTAAAGTTTAGTAAGAAACTTTCTGCTTTTGTTTTTAATATTCAGAATCTACATGAGACAGTTATTTGGATACAGCTGTCATCATCTGTCATCTGTAAACAAAATTGTTCTTTATATGTGAGCACGAAAGTACTTGGCATTTCCTGCCATGTTGCTTGTCAAATAAATTAACAGATTATATTGACCAAGAGAATAGCTGTATACTTCTTCAACTTTTTATATTTCATCTCATTACTCTGCTCATTATGTAAATAGCATAAAACACTGGATAGGGACTGGAGAGATTGCTCAGTGGTTAAGAGCACTAACTTCTCTTGCAGAGGACTGGGGTTCAGTTTCCATCACCCAGATGGACTCTAGCAACCATCTATAACTCCTGTTCCAGGAAATCAGACACCTTCTTTTGACCTCTGTGGACACTGCAGTACAGGAGTGCACTTGCATATATGCAGGCAATACAATCACACATATAAAATAGAAATAATAAAGGAAATATTTTTTAAAACCAGTGGATAAAAGGCTGACTTAAAAACATATTTTTGATTTTTTTTTGCTTTGATTTGTACTGTTTTATTTCAAGAGCTGCCTTTGCTATTTATGAATGAAATATTTTT